AAACATGTAGAAATATAAGTTCATGCTAACTTATAAAAATTCTTTTTTTTTTCAATTACTGTAAATTTTTTTCAGAAGCTTACCAGATAAAAAACAGTTGTTATCAGGTATATGATCAAAAAATTTTGGTAATAAAACATTGACGTTTTCTTCAATATCAATACCAGTAGATTCTTTTACTTCACCCAAGATCTAAAAAACAATTTGTAGAATTTAATTAAGTATTTAAATGACCTATGAAAAGTCGAAGAAAAATCGTTAGAAACATTAGTTTAACATGTAATCTTTACTGATTTTTCTTATTAAAAAAACATCCATATATTGAAGTTACTCTTTTGTATTAAAAATATAATGTTTATAACTTTGAATCATAGTGTTAATGTACAGAAAAAATATGTAAAAGTGGAATATTTTTTCAAAAATATCGAGGAAAACAACTGACTTTAAATAGAAACTATAACAAGTATGTTATCGCATTAAAGTAGGGCTTTATCAGACTTCACGAGATATTTCTAATGAAAAACTTTCTGTTATCGAAATAAACTGTTTTGATGTGAATTCAAAATCAATATTTTTATTATAATATATCTTTAAAGCCAGTATTTTTAAAGAAAACTATAGTCCAGACTTGTTATATTTTGTACGATGTAGACAAATAAATTTATGAACTAAAGTATCAGTTCCTTCTTGCGGCTAACTAATTCTCTATAGATCAACTTTTGAAAAAAACTTTTTTTATTAAAGTACAATCGATAATGTTTACCATTTCTGAACGACGATAACCGGGAAAACGTTCGAGTATTTCGACTATATCCAATTCACGAATACATAGACGTCTTATGTTGAAGGATTGTATCCAAAGATCATGAAGTAATTCATTATTAGGATCATCTTTAAGTAATTCCATGTTCATCTGATTGACCATGACTAATAAATTTTCATTTTCTCGATGAGCTAAATTAATCAATGGCTACAAGCAAATGACATGATATATCATTCAAAATCATATGAAAACTTACTATATCAACACGACGACGTTCAGCTTGTAGAATTGTACTTTTTTTTTTCGGTCTTCCATTTGTTTTACCATTGCCATATTTTTCTTGTTTACTTTTAACTAAATTATTACTCATTTGTAAAGGTTTACGTTCACGTTTGAATTTTTGTTTAATTGATTCGTGCCAGTCTTTCTAAAATAAAAGCAAATATTTAATATATTTATAAGTTTTTTTTCTTACAATTGAATTTTTTGATAATGCTGGAGGAATGTGGAGTTTGTTAACGATCGATTTTGCCATTCTTAAGTAGTCATCATTGCTTGGATACCTAAATGAGGAGAGATAAAAATATAAAAATAATATTTATAAATAAAAACTTACAATAAATCATAAGATTTTGTCACATGATCATAAATTAATGTCAATACTTCGCTTCTTGTTCTTGTATGCGGGTTAAATTTCGATATATTTTCTTGTTCAATATACTCTTCCATTCGACTAGTCAAATTTGGTCCTTCATAATCATCTGGTAACATAGGTTTATTATCAATATCT